TGCCCTGCACCCTCTCCAATCTGGGAGCCCTCAGGGGATGTCCTACTGATGGCTTAGGCCCGATCCCTGTGGTTCTCTGCTTTCTGTGGACCTGCCTGCTTGATGCCACCACAGGCCCTGGTGTCTGCTCTCTGTGGGGGCCTGCTTGCCCTTTGCTGCCAGGGCCAGGGGCAAGCAGGGCCCTGCTGTCTGCTGTCTGCTCCCTTGCTGTGGAGGACGTTCCCGCCCTTGGCCGCTTGTGCGCATGCCAGCTTGGAGCGCCTGGGTCCCGGGAATGTTCCCACCCCACCCCTAGCTGCTTGGCACCTGCGCGCATAGGCTCAGAGTGGCCAGGGGTCATTCCAGGACCCTAGGCACTCCAGGCCTACGCGCAGGCCTATAGGCTCAGAGCAGCCTGGCTCCCGAGGATGCCCGTCCCCGGGACCCAGGCTGCTTGGCACCAGTGCACACGCAAGTGGCTGCCCTGCCCCTGGCCGCTTGGTGCTTGCATATGCAAATTAATCTGCCATCTTTGTTGGGTTAATTTGCATACTCACTCCTGATTAGCTGTGGGGTTGTCATGAAGTATGGTCAACTTGCATATTTCTCTTATATTAGTGTAGATACCTATTATGGTATATGTATAATGTCACCCATATTCAAAATAATTTGTTTGCCATCAGTTTACACATACTGTTGCTAGAAGGCACTAAATAAATATTTGTGATCTAGTAGTTTGAGAAGTTAGGCAAAATGCAAAGTAAGGAATAAAACAGAATGGACACAATATAGAAAAAGCAGAGAGAATACATATTGTCAGGAATCAAAGGGAGCAGAGGGGAGATATAGTCTCAGAAATTAGAATATTAGTGCATTTGAACACTGATAGTATAGTAACCATAGTATTAATCAATCATGAAATGTTATTAGTGCTGAAACAATTTAAGCTTAAAATATAGGCTGTATATGTAACTTTAAATATTGGCTACTTTTTGTCATACAATATACAAAGTAGACAAGTTATGGTTGTAATTTTTCTGAAACAAATACCTGTTTAGGGTAAAGAAAAAAATTAACATTTATGAATTAAGAATGGGGCTTTTAATTTTCATTGGCAAGAGATACTTTAATACTTAAAATAGTAGAGGTCAAAATTTTTATTTTATGTAATATATATAT